ATGATATTGGGGAGGAGATAAACAACACACACACACACACACACACACACACACACACACACACACACACACACACACACTTTGGGTAGTAAATCTGATAACTGTGCTAAGTAACTATTTTTTATTAAAGAATAACTCCTGACCTGGAATTATCCTGACTCCAGCATTGCATGCCTGTGCTCCGATCATGAAGCTTTTCTTTTCCCTACATATATGCCAATGCGTATTACGTCATTAACCAGCAGCAATTTACTGCATTTAACAAGGAATTAAAAATGAATATGGTGCAGGATTCTGCTGTCCTGTTGATGGCTTTTACATGCTAGGAACTTGCTAGAGTGCCTCAGATAATGTTTAATTAGTAGTGTATTGGTGTGAACAGGCTTGAGATATTGGTTAAAGCTACTGAGATAATGTGACCACCAAATATTCTGTCCTAAATGAGATTACCACCAAGTATACTTTGACTGCTTAATAGGATTACCCAATCGAAAGATATCATTTATAGTGGAGAAGAATGGGTAACCTTATGAACTTTTTCGACCTAGAAGATCAATGTTGGCAACAATTTGTTACACAGTAGTCATATTTTAGTTTTTTTTCCATGTACCGTATATACTCGAGTATAAGCCGTCCCGAATATAAGCCGAGGTACCTAATTTTACCACAAAAAACTGGGAAAAAGTATTGACTCGAATATAAGCCGAGGGTGGAAAATGAGGCAGCTACTGGTAAATGTACAAAATGAAGATAGATACCAATAAAATTACATGAATATTTATTTAAAAGAAAAACAATAACCTAGCTCTGTAAGTGGAAAAGGGGGTACAGGGCTACATATCATGTACTACGGATCATTTAACCCATTCATATTAGCAGAGGATAATTGTAAATCTATTGTTCAGTGCATTCTATATGTAGTATATAGTACATGTACATATAGAGTGCCTGCAACAATACATTTACAATGATCCTCTGCTAATTTTGGGGCACTTTTCAGCAAAAAAAATGGGCTGAAAATCTCGGCTTATACTCGAGTATATACGGTATGTTTATCTACTTGCTTGGAGGTCACCAATCACATAAAAGGTAGCAGCAAATTCCAGTTATATGGCTTACAGGCAAACAGAATTCAAATGTAAACCTAAAGGCCCCACTAATGGACTATTATCTTCCATGTCCACAGGTTACTAAAGGAAAAAATTGAGTATAAGCCGAGGGGGGCACTTTTCAGCAAAAAAAATGGGCTGAAAAACTCGGCTTATACTAGAGTATATACGGTATAAAGATTTTTTTTCAGATTTGTATCATAATAAATATTGAAGAGTACATTCAGACTGCTGATGTCTCCGCGATAACCCACCAAGGTCTGTTGAGACTTACCTTGTGTCTAGCCGTACAGGTACACTATAGTGTCAAAGGTTTGTGGACATCTGACCATCACATTAACTTTATGGCCATGTGGACTCACCTCCAAATGATTGAGTTTAGGTATTTCCACTGAAGGGTATGGTTTCTACAAAGACATTTTAGACAATTTTGTGCAGTTTTGGTAAGTCCCTTTCTGTTCCAGCATGTTTGGGGGGCCGATGCACAAAGCCAGCTCCATAAAGACATGATTTTACAAGTATATTGTGGAGGAACTTGAGTGTCCTGCACAGAGCCAGGACCTCAACCCTATGAAACTCCTTTTGAAGTGATTTGAAATGCTGAATGTGAGCCAGTTATTTTCATTTAGTTACTGACCACACCAATGCTCTTGCAAAAAGCCTTACCAGAAAAGTTGAGGCTGTTATAGCTCCAAAGAGAGGCCAAATCCATATTATCGGCCATGGGTTTGGAATGGAATGTTGAACAAGATAGGTGTGATGGTCAGATGTTCACAAACATTTCTCCCATATAGTGTAAGTGCCACTCGCACACAAATAATTCTTCCAGCAAGCAGCATTCTTTCCCACAACATCAACCAACAAGTTATAACATGGCTGCAGCTAATTTACCAACTAGATTGTTCTGTTTTTAAATACTCTGTGACCCTTCTTACCTTTATTTGATGCAGAGGGTGAAAAAAATGATCTGAAAAATCTTTCTTTATAAAACCAAGTAACAATAGTGTCTAGGGTGCCCTATTTAAACGGGCACAGGCATTGAACCTGTCCATGGGCATTATGGAAGTTCATTTTACTATGGATGCTGCAGACAAAATGGCATGCTGTACACACTTTGCTTGGCAGTGAGTGGGTTGTCGACCTCTTGTATCTATATAGATATGCGCAGATTGCTTTGTGGCTCTTCTGCTGCTGTAAACAAGTTCAATAAGTCAAGCTTCTGAAAATAATTTACCAGAAGTATAGCTATGCTGGCAAGTTACTTGCAGTTAATGTTGTCTTCTTTCTCTTACTCGTCTATTTTTGTCATCCCTTTTGTAGGGTGTGAAGCCAGCCAGCTTTGATAAGGTTGCCATTCCAGAAGTGAAAGAGATCATCGAGGGATGCATTCAACAGAATAAAGATGAAAGGTCTGCAAAAGATTAGAATTTTATAATATGCAACTGCCCCTTTATATTCCTTCTCTGAAGTGTTTTCCATGGCCAGGCTAACTAATCGACCCTCAATGTTTATAAGTCCAGAGATTTACAGAGTGCAAGCACCATATTTACATACGTTTCTGCTCCAGAAAACCAATATCCATACCTGCTGTAGGGGCAATCTGGGTCCATTTCATCAGAAGCCTTGAGAGTGCTTTTGGTGTAAAAAGAAAACTGAATCAGGACACTGGATCAGGATTAATTATGTTTTTAGTGTTAAAAGAAGAAAACATGTATCGGAATTCTGCAGCACTTACCTAGTGCAGGCCTTTAAATTGTAACTAATTGTGTATTTTTTTATTTTGCTATGTGTGCAACGCTCAGGGAGATTTTCCCATTTTGACCATCACGTTCTGAAGCATGAGTGTATGGCACTCACATATTTGCACCCTCATCTCTCTGAAGTTTTTGATTTCATTTGCTTAGGTATGCTATTAAAGACTTGCTGAACCATGCCTTTTTTCAAGAGGAGACTGGGGTGCGAGTGGAACTGGCAGAAGAGGATGATGGAGAGAAGATAGCTATCAAACTATGGTTGCGAATTGAAGATATCAAGAAATTAAAGGGCAAATACAAGGATAACGAAGCCATAGAATTTTCCTTTGATTTAGAGAGGGATCTCCCTGAAGATGTAGCTCAGGAAATGGTGAGCTTTCCTCAGTTTTTGTCTTCTAATACATAGTGCTCAAAAGGGGGTTTATATGCACCACCTAAATGGTCCTGTGATTCCTTTATTGTCTTATAGTATAATTTCAATGTAGCTTGACTGTTAAAACTGAACTCCAGGTCAGGTTTGGCCTGTTTAAATTGAGAACTGCATAGAAGCTAAACTTCCTTTGTTCGTGGAGAACATATGAAATGTAGTAGGTCTGATTTATGGGAAACTGTTTTCTTTTACCTTGACAAGTGACGTTGGATTAAGATTTTCATTTTTTCCCCTCTCTACACAGGTAGAATCAGGCTATGTCTGTGACGGTGATCACAAAACCATGGCAAAGGCGATCAAAGACAGAGTGTCACTGATCAAACGTAAACGAGAGCAGCGGCAGCATGTACGGAAGGAGCAGGAGAAGAGGAAGCAAGAGGAGATCAGCCAGCAGCAGCCTGAATCTCGGCTCCCGAGCCCACCTCAAGGCACAGGAATACCCGCTCAGCCCAGCTCTGGCCCAGCCCCTGCTCTCACCAGTGTGCCAAATGCCTCTTCCTCCCAGGTGGAGCCAGAGGAACCTGAAGCTGATCAGCACCTGCAGTACCAACAGCCCAGCATATCAGTGACCTGTGAGTATTACATTGATTGTGCTTAAGTGAAGCTCCGTTGCACATTTTTACCAAATGTAATATTTTTGGTCAAAGGAGTGAGTGGATTGTTTGTAAATAGTATGTGTCCCCAATCTTGTATTGTTGCATCTGTAAAGGCTGTTGGAAGATCTACATTGCCCAATGAGGAAATTTTGTGGCTAATTATTTTTCTTTGTACAAAATTATCTACTTTTTTTTTTTTAACAGTACGATTTTAATTTGGTTAAAACCCTCTTCTTGGATTTATTTTCACTTTTATACGAATGGACTCCCTGGGCCAAAAACTGCCACTGCAATCCATTGTCCAGTAAGACTGAATTATTTGGCTTGGGGGGCACTCTCCTTGGACAGGGGCTGGCAGTAGGCAGGGCTTAGCCAGAAGAAAGAAGTCTTGCCCTGAAAATGAATGGCAGACAAGAGCAAGTTCTCTATAATGTCCCATTGGATGATTATTATTTTCATGTCCAGAGGCAGCATTGCATAGTTTATATACAGACTTAGTCTGTAATAGTCAAGTTATCGCTACGTTCTAGGCATATTCTAAAGCATGTATATATGTATGTTTAAATGTAACATGTGTGATTACCTGAATTTGATTTCAGCATCCTGTGATCCCTTCACAGTAACATCAAAGCTAGTAGTAGAAGGGGCAGAACTAGGAACTAGTGAGGTGTGCTGAATTCACATGTGCTGACAGGAGAGAGCAGGGACATGTCAGTCTGCTGCTCCATCACTGTCTATTCACAAGCAGGAAGGTGTCCAGCCTGTAATCCTTTTAAAGAAAAAGCATGCCATGATTCTAGCTATGTTGTCTGATTGAACTGTGTGAAGTTTAGCACATGATGGATATCAAAAAAGTCCTTTTGACAGGTATAATATTTCTCGTTTATGTTTTTATACTGTATAGTTTATTGGAATAGCTTTACATAATTTTTGAGAGTCTGAATGAGGTGTTAGGGAAATTATGGGTAGAATCTAACTTCTCCTTTAATATCTGGTTGTACAGCAGTGAGGAGAGGCAACTGCCCAAATCAGCTCGGGGATATTTGTGGGTTATTCTGGTAATGCATCTGATTTGTATTTATTTCACAATCTGGAAGAGATCTTTTGTACTAATTTAAAGATCTGTTTGTGTAGTTTTACTCTGCCACAGGTTTATGCCAGTTCAGTCGTGTGCATCTGCTCTCTTCTTGCACTCTGGTCTCGTCTCTACCTCTAACTTCTCTGCTCTGTCATGTCCTGTCTCACAGCGGATGCAACAATGGACAGCGGGCAGGGCTCCACCGTGTACACAGAGTCTCGAGTGGGCAGTCAGCAAACTGTTTCCTATGGCTCACAACAGGATCCTATCCTCCCTTCTAGCACCAAGCCTGGATACAGCGCTCCAGCTCAGCCAGGGGTCGGGGTAAGGCAGCAAACTGTTTTTTAATTCTGACTGGTATAACTTTGCCCATAAAAGTCTTAATATTAGTAAAGAACATCTCTTCAGTAGCTGAGATGCAACAAACCCCAGCAGGCTATAGCAGAACTTAATGGAATGGCAAAGTTTGTTCCCTTACACAAGACCAAACCCCCTAAATGCTTGTCTTATAACTCATTGCTGTGTTTTTCCTCTTTGTATGGTAAATCTGCCCAAGATCACTTAATACCAACCACATTTTTAAAAAGTGTATATCTGGGCAATACAAAAAAATCTATACATCTATGCAATACATGCACATTTCTTCAGCTTTAAAGCTGCAAGTACAGTATTTACCTGTTGATCCTATGATAGGGGGAGATGTTCTGTAGTTCAGCAGGGCCAACAACAGTGCCTGGAATTTCATTGTAGCAGAGGCAGCAACATCAGGTCAGTACAGAAAGTTAGAAACACTGGATTTCTGGCAGATCAACAGGTAATTTTCTGTAATTGCAGCATTAATAATAAAAAAACACACAAACTATGGAAATGTGTATGTATTCCCAGAGATGTACTGCATATGGTTTTTTTTTTTCTTTGTTCAGAAATACTCTATAATATTCTTTGTCCAGCGTATAAATACTCTGAGTATTTATAATACATTTTCAAATGAACCATAGAAATTTCTAAAGGGTTATATCTGAGATCTTTAGGATAGTTTGTATTATAACAAGGGGGAGCAACCGGCATATTTCTGTTGGGAAAGGTCAGATTATCTCCATGTGTTCTACTCTGTCTGATACATAATATTGCATGATATTGATGCATTTTTATATCTTTCCTTGCATCCAGTTACCAACCTGGTTGACTTTATCCCCGTAGCTCTTAGAAACTCCCAATGCTGGATTTGCATGTATCCTATCCCTTTACTTATGTTGGTTCAGTTTGATATTGGTTTCACAAACTATATACAATGCATACATGTCACTGCACAAGAACACAGCTTTTTAGATCCTTTCCACAGGTTTGATTTTCCTATTAATGGTCTAAATACAAATAACTGTCTAACCAACACAATCTAAACAATTCTTATATAAATTTTTTTTAAATAATTGTTTACAGTGAAGTTTTTTGAGGGTGAAGCTGGTTTTTTCATGGCTGCCTTACCTGTGAACACACGGGGGGTGTATGGAATTTTAGTCCTGATGCTTGCGTTTCTGAAGGTTGCATTGGACCTCATTAATTATGTAAACTGTACAGTATATAGCAACCAGACATTTTCCATTTTGGTCATCAGATTCTGGTTGCTATGGTCCTCACAGACCGGATCTTGCAGGTTTTTGCCATTTCTTTTTTCTACCCATCATAGTTCTGTATTTGTTGTATTCAGACTGTAGGATAAAACGTTTGTATGTACAGGCAGTAGTTTTTTCTCTTCTGTGTATTGAAGGACACAGTGGAGATCAAGATCCCCACTGTATGCTTCAATGAATGCAAAGAAAAGTATTCTACAGTGAGTACAAAAAAAGTATTTTCTCCCCAACAGTACACGGAGAGCAAAAAGTAAACTGACAGCCGTTTTAACCATTCCCTATTCCATCCAAAACGTTAAAATAAAATTAATATGTTTTGACTGCATACACTTTAAATACTGCCCTCCTGTTCTGTAACATGCTTATACCTTATACCAGCTGCTGTCATAATACCCCGAACGGGGCCAAGCAGATTGGCTACCGGCTCTGTTCGAAGATTTTCAAACTGGCTCCTTCAATTAGATTATCGATTATACCGGCGGAAAGGGTGACAGCGGCACCCACTGTGCAAATTTCACATCGGTACAGCTAGCTTGAGAGGGAAGTTCCCCTCACTTCGGGTGATTTCCATTTACTTCCGGTTGTGTCTCTGGGACAAGCAAATACAAATTTCCCCAATTGTACACAGACAGCAAAAAATACACTGGCAGGTGTGTTAACCCTTCCCTACTAAATTCAAAATGTATAAAATTAAAATAAGATTTTGTTATAAATACATTAAAGATGAGGGTTTGCTTGTGTCCATTGTTTCTTGGCCCCGTCTTGTAAGTAAGAAGAAACCTGACCAGCTCGAGACGCTGACTCAAGTATAAGCCGAGGGGGGCACTTTTCAGCAAAAAAAATGGGCTGAAAAACTCGGCTTATACGCGAGTATATACGGTAAGTATGTCGCTCTGAAAAGGCTAGGAATCCGAATACCTCTCTTTTGTCGTTGGTTGTTAATGTGACTAAAGGCTGAATGAATATACTACTACTGCCTTTGTAAGAGTGAAATGCCACATAACCCAGTCTGAGTGAAAAATAAATGCTTTTCAGTAGAGGGCACATCTGCATACAGGTTTGTTGTGTGGAGGAAACACTACTCATAGGAATAGTATTAAAGTTTTATGTTTCTTTTCTTGCAAACTGGAATGGTGCATAGCTCTTTTGTAGCCATTTCTTTGCAGGGGAGTTACTCAACAAAAAAACTGGGACAATGATTCAAAATCTTTAACCGTCATTATTTTATTGAATCTAACACATTTCTTTTTTTTTTTTTTGTAACCATAAACTAATTTGATTTATTAACTATAACCAAATCTTCAAGGCATAGAATGCCTCCTCATTTCCTTGTTATTCTAAGCGTCTAACACATCACATTCTCATTCACACTTGTCATTTTTTTGTTATTTTATTTTTTTTTCTTCTGTATTGTTTTGTTCTCTCCCATAGCACCGCCGAGGTCGTAGCATGTCAGTCTGTGTCCCCATGCTTCCCTCTTCTACCCTTCTCCCACCTGCATTTCCTCCCAGTGCTCCCTGCACCCCTCCCCATATCCTGTCTGCCCCCGTCTCTCCACTGTGGACATCCCCTGAGGAATCCTTTGCTGAAAAACTTTCCAAGGCTCTTGAGAGCGTCCTGCCCATGCACGCCACGAGCCCTCGCAAGCACCAGCGCCGCTGCAGCCTGCCCATCCTCTATTCCAGCCCTGTATGTGATCCTCTGCACCCTCGCATGGCAGATAAGTTACCATTAAATACATGTGGCTGGGTATGACTTTCATATTGACAATTAAGAGCTAGATTGGTGTTTTGGTGAAAGTTGAACTTTTTTCACCCTACCCGGAATTTCTCATTGCTGCATTACATATGTAAATATACATACATTATAGGTGTTGTTTCCTGTTCCTCAGACTCTTCACAGAACTGCTGTGTGGTCTCTAAGGAACATAATTGCAATATCTGGTTAACGTGAAGAACAGTTAATGCAGACGCTAGTTGTATATAACTACCGACAGTTAACAAGGTATCCTAGAATTTTTAGCTGCCCCCAAAAAAAGTATGCTCATTACATTGGCAGGAGGTTTCTTGTTTAATACTCGTGGGCCGTGATTGTCCATTTCACTCTCGATGCATGTTAGTCAGGAGTGCATTAAAAATCAAAATCAGGATGACTGCTTTCAGACCCCATCTTGGCAATCAGCAAGAGACTGACTGATTGAAGCAGAATGGGGTCCTAGAAAAGGTAGGGCCTAGAAAAAATAGTACCCATGAAAACCCCCCAAACCAGGTCGATATTGATAAGGATAGTAATAAGAACAGAGGAGCCCAACCCATTTGCATTTTCTGTAGTCTAATTGGCTGACCCATCAGACGCTAACTGCCTACAAGTGCATCTTTGTTGAGAAGTGACAGGCAGAGAGACGAGGCTTTTACCGGTTATCCAGTTGCTATCCCCACGGTTTGCTGTAGAAGCAAAACCCTTGTATTTGGGCCCTCTGGACATCCACCAGGCACCACACTCCTGCCTAAGTTTCCCTGTTGATGATCACTTCTGATGGTAGCTCTGCGCTTATTTCCTTTTAATTTTTGTGTCTCATAATCCCTTTTGCTGTCATTATTGCTCAATTCTGGGAATATTCACCATTATAGGCTTTTATTGACTAAAGGCTCAACCTTCACCAAACACCAGTCGTATACTATCCTCCAACTGGAGACTGCACTAGGTCTCCTTTAGTGGAAAATGAGGCTGCTATTTTGCTGTTGCTTTCTAAATCATTGCACTTAATTCTATATTTACTGCAAATATAATTTTCCTAATTGCTGTAAAAAAGAGATCAGTGGTTTTATGCTTCCTACATCTGCCTATACATTTAAGCACCTGTGAAAAAAATTTTGACAAATTAGAAAGCAACAATACAGGCAAATCCTGTCACGATGAACACAGCCAATCTCTGCCACCCAAGCATGTATTTAATGACTGTTGTACATCTTCCATTGTTAATTCCCTGTTTTAATGTCAAAGAAATTGTGCTCATTTGTTTACCTGTTGTCTAAATGTCTCACTTCCTTATCTCGTCCATGTTAATGCAGCCTCAGTCCATGGTGCATCCAACTCTCCCAGAGGCGCCGCAGTTTTTCCCGACCATTCATGAACGCCCCATGTCTTTTTCTCCACCTCCCACCTTCTCATCTCCCAAATTGCCCAGCACACAGAGGAGAAAGAGTACTTCCTTCTTGGAGTCGCAGGCTCGTCATGGTTCACCTCTCACACGGTCATTTGGACCAAGTCCACTCTTGTCCTCCACAGACAGTGTGAACTGGAGGTCAGACGGGGTGCCACTTCAAGGAAAGTCTCCCTTAAGATCTTCCGCGGAAACCAACCACAAACAACAGAACTTTGATTGTCAACTGTTCACTGAAGGAATGTCTGGAACAGCTAATGATAGCCCAATGATACCCGTGGAGGCTGTGTACTTGGCTAGTGTGCCATACAGTGCGCAGGCAGAAGCTTTTGTTGCTGCAGATGGACCCGGTCACACAAAGGATCCAGTAGTGACACAACTTGGTTCGGTGTACGACTACCAGATTGGTCAAACTTATATAGCTCGCCCAGTCCAAAGTCTGAGGCTTGAGACTGCAGTCAACCAACCCTCTCCGCAGGGTAGTATGTCCGCTCCAGTTACATCTGAGCCTCATATTGTGTATCATAAGGTGTTTGTACCACAGTCTGCTCCTCCAGTTCTTTCTCAGGGCAGTGAAGGGCATCATGGTTGCGTGTTTGAATTTCACGTGCATTCTTCTGGACCTGAGGGGGCCGTGTACTTGCCACACCGTGTCTATCGAACACGCCGCGGATCTTTGGAACTGGAAGAGGTCACGCACAGCTCTTTACTGCAAAGCCGACTTCAGACTGTTGCTGAGGAGCAATGCAACCACCTTAGCCCAGAGCCTGTGTCTCCTCTCCCTGGGGTGTACAGGCCAGATGGCAGTTCTGAATACTCCAGCGACTCATCACAGCGAAATTCCTCAGACCCTGGGGATTACTTTTCTCCACCCGCCGCCGGAGTCACTCCCGATGCCTCTGTGACCTACGCTCAGAAGATCTTTCCGGAGCCGCATGTTTTCTTCTGCTTCCCGCAATCTGGAGCTGCAGCCTTTCCCATGCAATCTGCTGTGTATAACCAACAGGTTACTGAGATCACAGCTATTCTAATTTTAATTTCCTGTCATTACTACTTGCTGGCTGGGTTTAGGTTTTTGAGTAAACAGTTTAAAAAAAATAAAATCTTTTATTTCCTCTGAGAAGTGATAGAGGAAGCAGTCTCTATATATTTTGTTGCAATTGAGTTTTAGTCACTAGAAATTGTTCCTTTTTTCTTTTGTATATTTTCTTATCCCTAAATGCTTTAAAATATCTGCTGTTATGTCAGAGTCTTTTCTGATGCCAACATTTATCATGTGTTCTTATTCAAGCATAGACTGAATAGGTGTACTTTGAAAAACCTTGCAGCAGAGCCTCACATTGCTATGTCTTTTGTAACATATTTTCCAGGTAGCCATTTCTAATTTGATAAAACAGTTTTCCAAAGGTACAAAAACATTTGGTGTTGGGTACAAAAGAAATTTCATTTTAACAACATTAGATAAGTGATGTCGCCTAAGAAGCCAAACGCTCAGGTTCCTTAGCTTTCATTAACATTTAATTTCAGCAATTTCTGAATATATGGTATGTAGAAAATCTGATCTTCAGAGGTGTCTCATATTCTGTAGCGACAGGATTGCAAATCCAAGCATTAAGCAGATTTGTTAATTGCAGACCTTTGGGCGTTAATACATTTTTATTTCATCCTAGCAGGCACAGGTACCAGGACAGGGCCCTGCATCAACTGTTGGGATTGGCACCCAGCCTGCTGTTCACACACAGGTGAGTGTATACCTGCTTAAAGGAGAACTATGGAGCAACCTTTTTTGGTTGGACATATACTGATGTCCATCGGTGACCCAAAACTCAGTATATAGTGGGCTATATGCTGACAGCGCACAGCCGAACCGCAGCCGGGACAGATCCTGACAATACTGTCGAGATCCACCCCGCTGGCGCTGGAGAAACGGAGAGGAGAGGGGGCGAACCTTTGCAGGGAGAGGATTGGGAAGTCAGCGGTTTGGCGGTATGTGTTCGCTGACTTCCCGATCAATAGAGCCAACCTCTGACAGCTTCAGTGTCACAGGTTGGCTTGAATTATGGGGATTAGTGTTTCACGCACCCCATAATTCTCCTTTAAAGTTGAACTCTAGCCATAATCTCTGTGAAGTCAGATGAAATTTCACTTTGGCCACTTGAACAGGTATTACCAATAGGGGATTTTCCCCTTTGGCTAGAACTGAACAGTGTTCCTCCTTTATTAAGATGAAGGCTAAAAAAAATTAAAACCTTTTTTTTTTAAATCTACAGTCAGATTGTAGCTCACCTGCTCCCAGCATTCCCATTACACTTATACTTGTCATTTATTAATAGCTCTTTGACATAATAGTTCTTCAGTAGTGCTGAAGGTTTCTGGTTGTATACGTAGATATCAGCAGTTCCAGAGGACGTATTAAACCAGAATCCCGCTTCTATACCATGTGATGGAAAATTGCCCAAAGCAACAGGAAAAGGTTGCTGCATATGTTAATTTTAGCCATGGCTGAATTAATAAGCCATAACTTATGTTAAATTCCATTACTAGTGTTTTATGTTCTCTGGGTCATCCGAATGCAACCAGTTTAGTCAAATGGATAAGCAGTCACTGTATATTGTGGTCACCCTAAAATAAACATTATTACTTAGGATTCTCTGCATCACCTCATCCATGACAACTGCTCTTTCCACCACTTATTTCAGAACTGTTAACTAGTCAGGTACGCAGATGGTAATATGTTGTAAACATTGCGTCTACCTTTTTGTCTTTTCAGGGTTTTCAGCATCAGCCGTCTCCAATTCATCAGGCATCACAGTACCCGGTGCCAACAACAGTGCCCAATCTGCCTGCCCCCACTCAAACTGTCATTACTCAAACCCAAACCACTGTCCCTGCCCCCCAGGTATGTGCAATGCAAGATACTACATGCTTATAATAGAATATTGCACTGTAAATTGTGTTTGAAAGTTTTCCAGAACCTGAGTTAAATGGTGCGTTCCTTTAGGAATTGATGGATACCTCTTGTGTTACACAGTGGGAGTGGCAGCTTTGTGGGCGAGATCATTATCACCATCTGTTCACTGACAACTAGCAACCTTGCTGAGACTGACAACACTCAGTTTTGAGCTAGGTGGCCAG